TCCATTGGGCATCTTGATTCCTTCAGTTTTCACTATTTTTCCCTTGTTGATGGTAAGGGTGACACATCTGTGCAGTCCAAACTCCATTGCAGTATCTTGGCTATATATTTTGACAGTGTTGAGCAACAATTCCATTTCAGATGGTGCTTTTCCATACAGCTTCAGATTGTCCATGAAAAGGAGGTGGGATAACCAGGCAGATGTTTTTGATGTTTGATAATTATGTTCTGACTTGTTCAGTATTGTTGACAGAGGAATCAGTGCAATGACAAACAGTAGTAGTGATAGTGAGTCTCCTTGAAAGATTCCTCTCTTGATGTTAACCTGTCCTAGTCTATTGCAAATCCAAGCTACATTCAAGTTGGTCTTCCTTTTCTTACAGTTTTTCAAAATCATCTTGTCAATTAGGAGCTGGTCTTTTGTCCCTCTACTGTTTGGGCAGTTTCCTTTCTGTTCAGATGGAAAGAACTTGTTTTGAACTAGGTGCTGTTTGACTACATCAGCTACCACACCAGTTAGCAATTTGAAAGTTGTTGGCAAGCAGGTATTTGGCCTGTAGGCACATGTTTTGATGGTGTTAATAGTATTATCACAGGATATAAGCTGTTCCAATAAAGCTGCCTTTTGCAATTGACTGATGGTGATTTTTTCAATGATAATGATGATGATTTGAATGCAAGTGAAGGGTCTTAAAGTCAAACAGATGGTTCCTCTTTGTTTTGCTTTGTTGCTTCTTGTCTATTTTAAAATGGTTGTGACCTCAATATATATTTCCACACATCAGCCTTGGATACAGAGAACATTGAGACTGTTTCAGAAATCAGTAATTGTTGTCCCTTCGTACTTCCTCTTTAGCTTTTTAAAGCCAAATGAATAGAGGTGCTTTTTTATTGGGTGGTTGGTCACTAGTAAATTAATTTCTAATATCCTGGTGTTCTCTAGTCCTTTTAGAGTTTGGTCCCGAAGAGGTGATGTGTTATGTATGAAATGCTTGTCCATGCAGATATGCGAGCTAAGAAAAGACATTTTAAGAACGTTTTTAAGATCATACCAATTTATGTATATGCTGTTTTATTTTATTTTTTAAATTATGGATCCTGCTTATGTTTTATGTTTTCCCTAGTTTTGTACGTCACTCAGAGTCCTGATACTGATTTTATTTGTGTATGAGAAGGGGGATATTGTTGTAACAGGGATAATTTTATTGTAGGCAAATTTGGAATATGTTTAAATATAACAGCAGTATGTGCATATTTTAAATAAATATACTTCTTAGTTTCAGAGTTCAGCTAAAATGTTGAAGAATGCAGTTGTCAAGTTGACCATTATGTTTTTATGTAAATAAGAGATCTGTTATTTAACTGTGTGCTGAATGAAATACCTTTAATTTTCAGATGTTGTTCCCAGCAGTAGTAATATGAACACAAAAGTGAAGAGAAAATTATCCCTGGGGTGGGAGGAACTAGGGATGCAAATGCACTGCTACTTTTCTTAGATCATGTTAGATCATGCTGACTAGCATAATCAATGCAGAGATGAACAGATCCCCCAAAGGGATTGCAACTATTTGAGCATCTTCCAAATCATAAGTTACAGAGTTGTAAATAAAAGTACTGTGATATACTGCAACAATACTACAATGCACAGCTGTGCAATGTTTGGGATTTAGTTCCAAAAAAGGTGATTTGGAGCAGGTATAAGCATGAACATGGCATCTCTTTACAACTTTTAAAGCAAATATATTTTTTCCTGGGATTATGTGACTGTCCTTCGGTTCCCCTGAAGCATATTTTTGGAATCAGATCATAAGCCCTGCACAGCCTTACTATATATACATGCATACATACATACGTATAGGATACATGTATACCGCATATACTAATGAATCTCAGTTATAGATGCATAGATTTCTAGTAAGTAATTGTCAATACTGCTTCTTTTAGAAGTGGGGTAAACATTTGTATTTTAATTTTTGTTTTCAATAATGATAATTCTTAGAAAGTTTTCCTTTTATTTAGCATTTGCACTTGCAGAATTGATTGATAATGCCTTATCAGCTACTTCTCAAAATTCCAGTGTTCGGTTCATACAGCTAAAGATGGTAAGATACCAAATAATTTTTTAAATGTTTTGTAGCCATATTTTATTCTTGTGTTTTCATATCTTGCTGCTTTTTTTGGTAACAGTTATTTGATGATACCCAAGGAAAACCAGCTATTGCTGTGATTGATAATGGAAAAGGCATGACTTCTAGACAACTAAATAACTGGGCTGTGTTTCGACTGTCAAAGTTTACACGACAAGACAATATAGAAAGGTGGGAACATTCTAATCTCAGTTTATGTTTAAGTATGAAATGTATATATTAAATCATACAAAGCTTACTTTTTCACTTACAATAACTGTCTAGCATTGTAGCATAATGAACGTTTATTGTGGCAATTGTAAATATACCTCTTGATGCAATCTCTAAATGTGTTTATTGAGAAATAAAGATCTATGAAACATATCCCCAGCTAATTGTGAGTTAGCTTAGTTTTTAATTTAAGTGTGGTCTCAGTGTAATAAAACGAAGCCTGCTAACTCTTCTTAGTGATCCAGCTTTTTCTGTTATTTCTAAATGCTCAGAAATCCAGAAACCAAATGAAAGTTCAAATACATTTTGATATTTCAGAATTTCAGAATTTATCTTATATCTTTGAATCAATTTGCACATTGATTTCTGTGAATCTCCTAACTTGGTAAATACTGAGATATTTTCATACTCATATTTGTGCCAATTCTGTGAAATGCTCTAGAACAGAGATGGGCAATCAGTGGGCAGTCAGTGCATGCAGGGTGCATATGGTTCCCTGGACTCTATGATCCACAGAGCTCCACCAGTGAGAAGAACCAACATTTTTTGCCCAGTTCTTTTGCAGGGGCAGGGTTGCAGAGTTTTGAGAGGCAAATGTGTGGCTTAAGTCTTATTCCTAACAAAACCAGGTCCCAAATCGGGTTACTTTTTGCCATGAGAGGTTAAGGGGCAAAATGAATATGCTGAATATTTATAAAGCTCCCATTTTGCCAATAAACTGTCCCCAAAACACAAAGTCCAAAATTATCAGCCCACTCTGCTTATGTTGTGACATCATCAGCCTTGCCCCTTGTCAATCTTGGTCAGGGCATATAAATAAGAAACAGTTAAACAGTCCCTAGGGTGAAAAAGATTTCTGTTCCTCCTTTTGTAGCTTCCGTGAAGTACTGTGATGTTCCTGAACATGACTATAAATATATAGTAAACATATTTTATAATCGAGATGTCAAATAGTTCATAAAATTTATATGGAACTATTTTTATCAGTTCAAAGCTTTGTCATTGATTACTGTTTTTAATTTCATTTAATAACACCTGAACACTTAACAGTTTCTATTTTTTCTTTCTATCCAATTTTTGTATCAGTGATCATTCAGGATATGTATGTCCTCCAACAGTACCTCGCAGCTTGAACAGTGATATATCATATTTTGGGGTTGGTGGCAAACAAGCAGTGTTTTATATTGGACATTGTGTTAGAGTAAGTAAAGTCTAATATTGCTTAATTAACCTAGGTTAGTTAGACTGGGCAGGATCCTGCTCTTTATGGAGCAGATTGTGGATATATGGGAAATGGGCCCAATGTTAGTGGTAGAAGAAGTTTGCCAGGCTGTATTTGCTGATGGGTGGTAAAGAAGATCTCTCTACTTCTAATAATAATGCAGGGGGGCCAAGCTGTTGAAATCCCCTATCTGCAGTATCTGTGAGATCTGTGTTGTTGGTATGGGGCAATAAGTCTTTGTCTTGGTGTGTTTTTATATTTTATAGAATTAGAAGTCAGGTTTGTGTTCCACTGAGGAGTTATATTGGAGAAAGTACATAGTCTTCATTCAGTGCAATTTTGGTGATATAGATTTCCTGTACTTGGGTGTTGCTACTGGAATTGTTTCCAGTGTAACTTTGAACTTGTCAATTTTTTTTTAATTAGATGATAAGCAAATCTGCAAATTCTCAAGATGTTCATGAGCTTGTCCTTTCAAAAGAAGATTTTGAAAAGAAAGAAAAAAACAATGAACCTATATATAGTGGACATATAAAAAAAAGAAAGGTAATACAATAGTAGTATTTTAATTATTGGATTATATCTACCTTTGAAAACAGTCTTTTCACCACTTACAGACTACTAGGATTTAGAAAGTTGTATAAGTTACAACAACTGGTTTATTCTTTCTGATGAGCAGTTGTATAAGAAAAATAAACAGCTACTGTATACTTACAAATTATGATAGGAACCACTAACTTCCATTTTCCTGATTTCAAAATGAGTTAATCAGTAGCATTTGTTTTTTAGTTGTTGTTTTTTTAATTCCAATAGCCAGCTGATTCCTCTAATGTTAATTGTGATGAGCGATTTCTGCACAACCTTATTATGGAAGAGAAAGACAAAGAAAGTTTTACTGCTGTTGTTATTACTGGAATGCACCTTGAACATGTACAATATCTGAAAAATTGTGTTCCCCGTTGGACAAGAGAATTAAAGTAAGTGTCTTATGTTTCTTACATTTCAAGTGTTTTGATTTATGACCCATCATATCTTATCATAATTACAACCTTTTCCCCTATACTTCTAAACATAGAAACTGCATCATGTGTAGTATTTTAGAATATTATATAATGGAGGAAAATGTGTATGTTTGTTGTTTTGCTTTTAGTTGAAATGTTATGGGATGAGAGAATTTTTATTAACAGCCAGGAACCTTGTATTTATATATGAATACAAAGTACATATTTTAGTTCTTTCTGGCTTCTAGATACAAGTGGTACTTCGTTTTATTTCTTTAAACTATGCAGTGGCCTTTTTAAAAATCCTGCAGTGCTTATTTATTTTAGGGGTAAATTAATGAATTTTATGATTACAGACACATATATCATTACTATATCCATGGACCAAAAGGAAACAGGACTAATTTGCCAATGGAGGAAGAAAACACTTTCAATAATGTGGATATTGAGGTAGGATCTCTATATATTTTCATTGGAAGTAAATTCACTGGACTTGTTCTAAATAACCATAAGGAGCTTTATGGAATAACCATAAGGAGATGAATGGAACTTTTTTATCCTCTTCCTCCATAGTTTAGCCACCAAAACATCCCTCCAAAACAGTCTTAGTTGATTGAGGATCCTGTAGGCATAATCAATATTTACAATATATTTTCTTTTTACTGTAACCAGGTCCAAGAATTTTGGTTAATGGATGCCATAACAGTGCAGTTAGAAAAGTATAAAACATGTTTCACTGTGATCATGGTAGAAAAGAGAGTCAGAAGACATTGTAATACTTTCATATAAAAAGAGGTGCCTTTTTTTGGATCCAGTTCATTGATAACATATCATAAATATATGATTATCTAACAATTCTTCAAAATACAAAATTCAAATTTAAAAAATGTCTTTAATTTAAAAACCAATCTGTATTGTTCTTTATTATTATTGATGCCTTTGTCAAGAAATTCATACGCAGACAAACTAACACTTGTTATCTATTTAGATTTCAGTGTTTGAAAAGGGGAAGACACCTAAGATTGTGAATCTTAGAGAAATTAAAGAAGATATGCAGACTTTATATATAAATACTGCAGCAGATAGTTTTGAGTTCAAGGCACAGGTCGAAGGAAATGGTATAGTGGAAGGAATTATCCGTTACCATCCTTTCTTATATGATAAAGAAACCTACCCTGAAGATCTTAAGAATGAAGGTAAATTTGATCATGTTCCCAAGATTTTCAACATTATAGTACCTAGCATCATTAGGGGACATTGTAAAATGCTTGTATTGAAGCACAACTATATTTCACAGTACCAATCCTTGACATATTGGAGCTATACTAAATATATAAGGAGTTATTTTTGTTGTTGCTTAGGATTTTGGATTTTTTTTTCTGTATGTGGTGGTGTTTTGGTGATAATTAAAATGATTTATGTATCTTTCCATGAATGATTCAGCTGCTAGCTCACCCACCGTCAGTTTAATTAAAGGTTGTTTCTTTCTGTCGTTTAAATAGAATGAATACACCTTCAGTCTAAGAATTCAGACAAGAAATGGGGCAGGCAGGTGGAGAGACAGGGGATAGGGAGAAATTTCCAGATCAGGAAAGAGTTTGCTGATGGCAGGAAACCTAACAGATCTTTTACAGAGATCCCTGGATCAGTGGGATTGCAATTTTAAAGAAAAAGGAAGAAAAATAAGAAAAAACTCCCATGACAGTAAGGGTGTAATGGTATGTGGGAATGACCTTGGGAGACAGGAGGTAGACCTGGAACCAGGGCAATGGTCTGGTGAGAGACACCCCAGTCCGCAGGTGAGGCAAAAGCATGCAAAATGTTTCAGAAGGGATCCTCCCTCGTTTCCGGAGACTAAAAAGAGGGGAGAGGAGAAATACTTTCAGTCTTGTGAGATTCTGTTAATGTAACCTTACAATAAAGTAGGATGACTTCATCTGGGCATGCTTCTTGTCTGGAGTACCTTGCAAGGGTGACAGAGGGTCCTTAGCCGCCAGTCACAACTATTGGTGGGTGTACTTGCTAGATAATGCATTGGTCTCTAAAGCAGCAGTACACAATCTTTTTCAAGCGAAAGGCTGTATTTGGCTTTTGTATTTGACCAAGCTGATAGGATTGGGACAAGAAAAAATCTTGGATAAAACTATACTCAGTTTAATTACATGAACCAAGTACAGTTATATAATTACTGTCCATATTTATAAGCTTCTGCTTTGACTGCATTAGAAATTAATTTCATTAGCAACTTTTAAAGGGGAATTTCAAGGTGGCATTCAATTTGGGAAGTTTGCACTTCTTTTCCATAATTTGAAAAACTATTCTATTTTTCATTTCTATATACAGTAACATGACAACAACTTTTAAATTTAGGAGTAAAACAAGATGATGGTGATGATGAAGAAGATGAAGATAAATGCTATACAAGAGAAAAAGGAGCTATTTTTGAATGTTTTTGGAATGGAAGACTAATACCATATACAACTGTAGCAGAGTAAGATTGTATCAGTTCTAAAATTTATACATACATATTTTTCCTTTCTGTGTTGCTAAACATTGTCTTTCTCTCCCAAGTTTTGAATGGTGTGCTTTTCCCAAAAAGGGAAGCCTCACTCCAATTGAATGTTACAACAGAATTTCTGGTGTATTATTTACAAATGACAAGTTTCAAGTGACCACAACCAAACTGACTTTCGTGGATTTGGAAGTAAAGTTAAAAGATAAAAATACAATCTTTACAAGAATTGTCAATGGAAAGGTAATATTTAATCTATTTCTTTGCTAATACTGTATAAATACATTTAGAAAATAATTAGATCAGTTTTCTAATAAAATCACTCATTTGTTGCAGTTTATGCTTTTATTGTATGGTAAGAGAATACAATTATTGCAGTTTCAGGACAGCCTGAGATTTGAGGGGACCTTGGTAAAGTGTATTTTGTGGGCCCCTAGCAGTCTTACCACTACAGTGGCAGTGATACGTACATCAACACACCCTTATTCCTGCCACAATGCTCAAAGATGCTTGGTTGAGGGCATTGTGAAATTTAAAAAGTTGGCTTCATTTAATTTCTTGCCTTTGCTCAGGAAAATGCTAGGTCAGAAAAAAAGTATTAGGGAAATAAATTAGTATTGGATCACACTGGAATCATGGGTTTACAGCTACTGCTCAAGAATACTGAGTGATGAATACTCTGCTAATGGTGTTTGTTTTATAAATATAGATTCAAGAGTGGAGTGTAACAAGAAGAGCATTGTAATGATTTCTGAGACCTGGAATATTAAGTATGGATATGAGGAAATATAAATCAAATTCCCGATCAGTCACAATGGGCATGTCACTTGCCTCTTTAGTTTTATTGTCCTGAGCATCTTTTTAAAAATAGGATTCAAACAATAAGTATGGCTTTTAAGATATAGCATTGTGAAAGGTACAGATTATCAACCAATTAATTTTAGGTTGCAATATTGAATAATGCAAGAAGAGTAAGCTTGAACAATAATAATCATTCAATAATTGAAAATATTGTACATGTAATACATATACAAAACTTTCCACAGGAACAAAGAATGAACATTGATAAAGAATTTGTATCATGGCTCAAGTATTGCAATGAAAAACATGATAAACAAATCAAATTTACTAAATGTGAAGGAATAGTTATACGCACTGATCCGTTTTGTAAAAGAAAATATCCTTGGGCTAAATATTTGGCAATAGAATGGGATGGAAAAATATATGAAGCTGGGCAGTTGGTAAGTTAATTACTTTTTGAAGAGACAGGCACTTTTTAAAAGATTGCCTAATGTATACTTGTTGTGCTGTGCATACTATAAAACGTAAAATAAAATTATATTTTCTTTGTTGATTAAAGAAAGTTTAAGTCATTTTTTAAATTATTAAAGTTTGTTACATGCACGGGAAATAATAATAATTTAGGTATAAGTTCCTTTTTTTTCCCCAGCTAGTGGGCACATTAGGATTTTTGAGAGCGTGTCATGGTGCTTTTCAAAAATGGTTGCCACTGCGAGGCTTTATATTCACAGAATAGCTTCCATAGTGGGTGTAACCAGTCATCAAGCATCTGTTTATGTGAAGGCAAGCTAATGAGGTTGCTCCTCACATCTGTCTGGCTTCCTAGCATGTTCCCCAGCATGCTAGCTATTCCTTGCAAGATAAGGTCATATCAGACAACTGGGATGTAGGTATTCTGTTGGCCCAGCCCAACACTAGGTTAGCTTTTACCCAGCATGATTGAGCCAATTAATCATGCACAGTCGAGGAAACTGGAATCTTAAAAAAAGACTTTATTTCTGCGCAGGAGCAAAGAGGTGCGCTAGCGACTCAAGTCCAAATTGAGCAGTTCCAATTGAATCAAACACCATCCATTTATTCAGTTCAGCTAACAAAGAAGTTCACCACAATTGGTTAATGATCTTGTGAGAGTAAAATTATTAGTAGCCTTCTATATGTTTTAATGTTAGTTTTGATTGCATTTAATAAAGC